ATGTTTAATGAAGAAAATATGCTTGCCACAAAAAATAAAAAAGTCCACACTCCTTTGAATGCCAATAGTGTCACCCTTTTATTCTAGAAGCAGCCCAACTGCTTCATTTAATACTCTGTTCTAAGAATTCAGTAAAGTGAAGCAGGTTTATTTCTGTTTGCCTTGCAGTAACTTTTATATTTTTGCTTTCCCTATATGCAACATCAACCAGCAATAAACTCTGCTGAGCATGAAACAACAGCAGGCTTGGCTCATCTCCCCATGATCCTCTGGGCCAGCTGCACCTTGTGGCTGTGAAAGTGTGTACAGTTTGCAACTGAATCAAGACATACAGGAATATAAAAGGAAATTTTTGCATCTGTAGAATTCTGCTGGAGGTTTTGTGGCATTCTGACATTTGTATTTCAGGGTGATGTCTAAACAGCAAAAGCCTTGCATTACTATTTTTTTCACCTTGTACATTAGAAACCACTGGAACATCTTAAATATTATGCTTGCAGTGGTCACAGGCCTGCATATAATAGTAGCCACATATCAATGGCTTTATTTATTTGTGAATGCAGCAATTTGCTTAATTTGCAATAACTTAACATAAAGAACAGATTCTTTTAATCAAGTGGAAGCATGCATAGCCATAAAGTCATGTTCTCTCTTGTGAAGCATAGAAATATTCCATTTCAGTCATGGGTTTCCTTTCCCCTAACTTCATATATTTTGCCTCCAGAGTTAGTCTCCATCATCTTCACACATAAGTTAGAGCACTCCTATCTGAAAGTCTGGAGTATCACTCATGGTACAAACAACATGGAGACAGAAACTTGGTATAAAGTAGTTTTCTTTAACCTGAATACTAGAATTTAGGGCACTGGAGGTGGTGACAGAAGGACAGAGTTAGCTTGATTATTTGTGGTCATCTCTTACCAATCATGTTGGGAGAATACCTGAGTAGGGTTTTTTCAGATGTTTGCCATGAAACTGACTTTTAGGAAACTAGGAACTCCATTTTCTCTTATTACTGGTTCTGGTTTGGATCCCTGATGCTGACTGTTTCAATCACAATTCGTTGATGTAGACATCCTACTTCTTATATTTCTTTCATATATTTCTTTTATAGT